TCAACAACATCACACTTGCCAGTTTGAAAAAAACAGTGAGTCTGCTCACCAAAGTAAGCCTCAGCAAATTCAGCTATGTCTGGTTCGTAGTCATCTTCAACTGCAAGTGCGACAGGACCTGGACTGTCAAGTCCAGGAACAGCAACATCATGCCAATCATCATGATCACGCCTGATCTTGGATTGATTGACACGCATAACTGTACTGTCAACATGAACACTGACCATAGCACCTTCTTGTGAGATAACAGTACCTCTGACCCATCTTTCTTTCTTCCATGCTTTTGATGCAATGGAGTTGGCATTGACAGGGGACGTCCAAACAAAGACCTTATCACCTGGTTTGTAAGGTCCATCTGATGGCATTGTTCTCCTAGCCATGTCATGCCTGAGGTCAGCAGCTTGTCTTGCTTCCTGATGTGCCTTCAATGCTAACCGTTGCAACTCTTGTTGTGTTCTGGCCTCAGGTAAGGGATCAACACTAAGCTGAGCAGGATCAGAAGCTTCGATGTCCAGAAGATCTGGTGGTCGTCTCCCAGTGGCAATTCCCAAAGGTGAATAACCACTAACAGTGGGGTGTGTGTGTGTGTTTCTGGCCCAAACAGTACGTTTCACAGCTTCTCTAACTGTCACTCTTTGAACCTATCATCTTCCAGGTTCTTGGGCATGATTTGCCATTGTCGTTCGAAGAGTCTAACAGCTGATTCAGCTCTGTTTGGCCATGGGGTTCTTGAACCACAGGGACATTCCTTGATACCATGAATTTGGTAATAAGTCAGAAAGTCTTCTTGGAAAAAGGCTTCATCACCTACAATGGCCTTAGGCATAGAATGATTTTCATCAGTCCACAACCTTAGAGCTTGTATAGTCTCTTTGTTGCTCAGTGAGGATTGCGCCGTAGCCCAAAGTAAGTTTGATGCACCATCAAGAACAAGCAACACCACGTACTTGCTCTTCCCCAACTGGATTTCAGCATGGTCAACAAAGATAACATCTCCAAAGTGGGTCGCTCGAATGCCTGAAACCCTGGCTCCCGGCGGTGGTGCAATGGAAGTACTACACACACGACACTTCTTGTACATGTCTTCATACTTTTCATAGACAGAGTCAGGAAGTCCTAACATGGAAGTCCTTCGTCTGAATTGAGTAGGAGACATGTGATCATGTTTGACATGAAGTTTGTACAGTTCCACGCTGTCTTCAAGTTTCCTCAGCATTTTCTTATACGCTGGTGTCATGGCTTGCACTTCACCACCAGATAGTGGAACAGAAACCAGCCTAGGCTCAAGAGCTTCACTACCCAGTTTCTCGATTTGACTTTCTGAATCTTGCTTACCACGTGCACGTGCAGGTGCAGAAGATCTGGATTCAATGACTTGAGGTTCATCTGATTCATTGTCGTCCAAACCTTATTCCCTAGCTCTCCTATCGAGTTCATCTTCAGGATCTTCCTGTTGCTTGGGATAGGAAACAACAACCTTCTTTCTGGATGAACCTCCTTGAGAGTCATCAACAGCCTTTGGTTTCTGCTTACCTACGTGCCTCTTTGCTGCAGGGGGACCTACCTCAATCTTTTTCAAGCTTGGTCCTCTTGAAATCGATTTGCCTGCCTCTCTCTGTTGAGAGCTTGGCTTTTTCTGAACACCTGATGGCGCTGAAGAGGCTGACTCAGGGTGAAACAAATCATCTATGTTTCCTTTGAAAGGTTTGGCTCGATCAAGGTCACTCTTGATGACGTTTTCAGGAATCACGTAGTCCTCCTTGATCTTGTAGATGGTCAGAAAACCCCGTCCTTGTGGAGAACCTTCTTTCTGCCCTTCTGGAACTCCATGTGAGTCTCTCTCTCATCAAGAAGTTGATCTTTTGGAATTGGAGTTGTCTCAGATCTGTTCATCTCATGTAGGTTCATCCTTTTGTCCTTGTGATGCCTGATGAGTTCACGACGTAGTCCATCAACTTGCCAGCAGTCACCAGACACGAGAGCTTCTTCTTCTTCTTCTCCTTCTCCTCCTTCTTCTTTTTCTTCTTCTTCTTCTTCTTGAACATCTTGTTTCACAGCAATCTGGCTGTACTCAAAGTGATCATGTTGTGAGAAGAAACTCTTGACTTGTGGAGTCTTGAAATGTACTTGGCTCATGTCCCATGCAACATCTTGTAAATCGAGAATGACATGAGTACTAATGGCTGTCTTCAAGACTATTTTTCTCATGCCAATACGTGCACAGGACAAAAAAGCCTTCTCTGGAGTGAGTTCGAATTGAAATCCAAGATTTCTCATGTGTGGAAGTGACATCAACAATGGGACGTCACCTTCTTCGACAATGGCGAATTCTGTGAACTGAGTGTTCCATCCATTGTCATACATGAATATCACAAGCTTCTCAGTACACTTGAATTGTTGGGAATTTGCAAAGAAGAATCTCATACTTGTTGGCTGAATTTCATACCAGAGTCTACTGTTCGGATGTGAGTCAACATAACTGCAAAACGCTTCAACTGCTCGGCGAGAGCCCATAGCTCTTGTGCATCCAAGGTCAAGGATACATACAGTTGGTGGTGCAGAATTCCCTGTGTGAAAAGCTAACCCTTTCTCACATGCCAGATCAGGTTGCCTGATATGAAATGAAAAAGCACTCTGCTGCTCACCTGATTCCTCTGTCTCTCCAGAGCCTTCAGGATGAGATGGTATCTCTGTCTCTTCAGAGTATCCATTTGAAAACAATGATGCGCCTTTTGCCAATGGCTTCCATGAAGCCTCACCTTGCTGCAAACCAACTTCTCTGGGCACTGGTGCTGGTCGCCGTTGTACTCCTGATCGAAGTGCATCAAGATCTCCAACTAAGACTGGAGATCTCTTGGCTTCCTTCCTGTTCAGCCGTGCCACTTCATCACGTTGGTTTCGTCCTCCTCGACGAGTGCGTCGGTGTTCTTCTTGTTCTGCTTTGGTGGCTGTCAAAACATCCACACGTGCTGGTTCAGTCTCTGCCATTGCAAAGAAACCATGACCAGAGCTTGATGCTGCAGAAGAATGGTGAGCTTGTTGCTGCTGTTGGTTCTGTATGGCAGGAGTCGATGAGGTCTGAGGGTGAAGACTTACCTTTGCCGTCTCCTGGTTTTCCTCCTTTGCCATCATGATCCTTGCCTTTCTTTCCTTTCTTTCCTTTTCCTTTTCCTTTTCCTTTTCTTTGGAAATATCCATACTCATCAAGGTAGCACAGATCTTCATAGGCCCAATACTGTAGCCTTCATTCCAGTTCTGATCATCGGCCCAATAGCCTTCATGAGATTCATTCCACTCATCTCCTTCATTCCATTCATCTTCATATCCTTCTTCACTCACCATGTGAGAGCGGCCTTTTCTTCTTCCGTTTCCTCGGCCTTTTCCTTTCCTTGATCTGAAGAACCTTCGTCCTCCTCTGCCTTTTCCTTTTTCTTTTCTCTTTAGTTTACCTTCGCCTCGTCTGGTCTGTCTTCCTTGGAACCTTCTCTGATACCATATGTAGTCAGCATCATCGTAGACCCAGAAAACATCTTCTAAAGCACCCAGGAATCCTTCTGCGCCGTCTTCATCATCTTCGGCCCAATAGCCGTCAGTTCCTTCTAATTCTCCTTCTTCCAGAACGAGGAAAGATCTTCTCTGTCCAATGCCAGAGGGTTGCATCACAGGATTGTCCACTGCTGTCTTTGTCGTGCAAAACATTTCCAGGAAGAGATCTCTGAGTTCTTGCACATTGTACTGGTCAAGTGTTCCTCCACGATGTGTCATAATACTTGTGAGTGTGTTTCTCTGATCTTGAGTCAAATCTGCTAGACTTACAAAGATCGATGCTAGCAAGTTGTCACCCAAAGGAAATGCCATTCTCTGTTGTTGTCGTCTGTTTTCATTGAGTTGTCTAAATGCTGTCAAAGCATGTTCATCTGTCCATGGTACATGTACATGTGGCTCTTGTCCTGGTAGTGCTGCTGCAGCTTGCGCACGTTCAGCTTGGTCTGCTTCATGATCTTGACGTCTTTGTGCAACGAATGCGATTGCATCTGGACTCGTAATCAACAAATCTGATAGAAGATCCATCCAAGACTCAATAAGTCTGTTTCCAGTCAGTTGAAATCTAGTCATCCATTTTTGAAGATCCATGGTTCCTCTGTTGTACTTCATGAACTGCATGAAACGGTATAAGAACACGTTCTGGGCACCTTTGATGAAATGGGGTCGCAAAAATCTCTTGAAGTAGTTGACTCCATGGTTGGGATCCCTGAGCATCTCTCTATCTAATAACCCCTTGTATTTCTGAGCCTCTCCTTCCAGTCTGTTACGCAAAGCTGGTCCACATTTTTCAGTTTCTAGCTCTGTTATGTCACACTGGTTCTCCCATCATATGCAGGGGCTACCTTCGTGGTCATCTGCTGCGTCATATGGATTGAGGGCTGTTGGGGTGCTCTTCTCATTGTATAAGAGTCATATTGATTCCATCCATCTACATCGACAATGTCGAAGTCATCATCATCATAACCATGGCGTGCCATATCGGGGTCTACCTGGAGCTCACCTTCAATGAAGGATCACAGCTCCGCTACCACTTGAAGAGCGGCACTAGCGTCTAGGTTAGATCAGCTAGAGCGTCTTCCCAAGACAGCTTCACACCTTTTATACTCGGCCAATAGCCAGTCGGTGCGGTGTCCACAGGATTGCTCTATATCTCTCTTGAGCCTTGACAGCGTATGTAAATGTGCTCAATACTCATGCTATATCCACATAGAATCCAAGCCCAAACGAAAACATGGGGGGTGGGGGGCCCATCCCATTGGGGGGGCCTGGTGGCCGGAGGACCGGATCATATATATATAATTATTAGTACATTTAAACCATTTACCAATTTCTTGAAGGAACTATGAGGAAAATTGAATTCTGTTGTCTCTTCTTGCAATGACAAAGACACTGGACACCGGGAATCACATCCCATCAACCTGCTTCTATGGGGAATGATGTGCTGCCATGGGCACAAGAAAATCGCTCTGATGGCTGACAGCCATGGTGCCAATTGTACCCGCTTCGTCCATGCATCGCCTCAATTCTTTGCTTAAAATGAGGCCACTTGGCTGGAAACATGCCATCTGGCATCGGGTTGAATACTCCGTTGCTGCCCTGAGCCCTTTTGTAAATCCGGTGATCAAAAGAACTCTGGTAGAAACGAGGTAAAACAAGGTACACATCCAAGCCGTTTGCATCAAGACTTGAAGCCGTGAAGCTAGGAGCCGTAAAGGAGAAAATAGGAGCCGTCATGACACTGACCCGAAAAGAAGCAAAGCTTCCCACTGCAACAGGATGCACCAGGTCAAGTGCAGAATGGATTGAAGAACTAAAACATTAAACCAAAACGGCAAAAATATGTGTATATATGATTATATATTATATATATATACATATACATATATATATATACATATATATATATGGATATATCTAGTACGTCATAGATATATGAAAAATTGAGTGCAAAATGTTGATTTCCGGACGATGTGATTCCTGGATTCCTATCTTTTTCCAGGCCCAAATTCTACACCAAAGGCAGCCAAAAGAGTCACCGCTGACCTCGCTGGAATTTGGGCGGGTGCTGCCAGGCCGCTTGCTGTCATGGAGTTTGCCACAGACACACACCGCAACGGACGCACGTAGCTGCCACGCTCCAAGGTCACATGGGGTTCGATTGTCACACCATACCCGACCTCATGTGCTAAGTTACCTTGTCAGGTCAGGATTAGCTACGTGATAAAGTACCCCAACATACCCGTAGACGTGCGTGTGTAACATATGTATACATACCCTGTTCAAAACTGTTTGGTGCCTTCATCCCATCCTAAAGATTTTAGCCAATCCGGATCATCATCCCAAATATGGTGAGAAAATGAAGAATAATTGAAGAATATGTTAAATCACTGACCGGAAAATATTAGAACTGGGTTGTCGCGTTGCTGAACCAATGGGATTCAACGGAAAATGTTCCACATCAAATGCTGGCGTAAAATGCAGTGGTGGCTTTGGGCAGGGCAAATTGCTTCAAAGCCACAAAACACTCCTTGTTGATCCTTATCTTGGCAAGAATGACGTACCTGAGCTACACCAGCGATTTGAGGCACATGAGAAGCTCCAAACCTCCAGAATTTATCAGAATTTCAAGATCATGATCACTCATGATCACTCATGATCACCCTATCTCAATGGGCACAATGGCCCCACTGCGCCCCATTGGCCAAGAAGCCCGTTCTTCTTCGCAGTGATCAGGCTCGGCTGGATATTGCACGCTCGGTCGATCACGCAATCTGACAGCAAATGGATACGAAACGACACAAACTGATACAAACTGTAACATTGTCACATGAATGATTGCGCACCTCCATGGATACGAATGAGGTCTGGATCCGTCAAATTGGAAGTGTGCAACTCCGTGGAATATGTGATGTGCGCGCCACAACCTCAGGAAAGCATTGACAACCCTGGTGGATCAAGGATTTCTCTCAAGCCAACCGCAAAGTACAGGTTCATGGCAAACACGAAGCAGCTGGCGTCCAAGAGACGGTTGTAAAAGAAGTTTAAAATAGGTGTTCCCCTGAACCTCAGCATCTGCTTGGCACCCGACACAGTTCGTCTACTTCGGCTTGGGAATCCAGATGCTGGCAACTCTGAGACATAGCTTGAGTCAATTGAGACTTTAGATATGATATATATATATATATAAATGATATAAGAATATATAAGAATAGCATACAATAGCAATCAAATTGAGTAGCTTGGATTTTTTTACAGCAGAGTCCAGTTCAGTGTGGCCAGCCTATGGGTTGGGGGCCTTCCAAGTTGATGCTTCTCATTGTGAACTGCCATCCTGCTGGATATAGTTCTTGACTGTTAAACCATGTTAAACCGAGTTAAACCCATAAAGTGTCCTTGCCACCAATACTTCACTTGCTCTCGAATCGAACATATTGAACATATTGAATCAACAAATCAAACAAAAGACCTGGAAAGATTTCACCTCCATTTTTGCTGTTCCATGGTGAGAAAAAGGCTATGCGCCAAGGCTTGCAGGAAATCTGTCGCTATCCGAGCGCGTTTGTTGATGCTCAAAAAGCATTGCAGTTGTTTGTTGGTTTGGGGGATGTCCAAATGCAGCTGTGAAGACAAGTTGCGGAGCACATTTCTACAGAAAATAAACCCCATTTGCCCATCACCACAGGATGTTGCGATCACATGCGATGCACTGAAGGCCACTGGGCCTCCGACATCGCGAGGAATGGGTCGATTGACTGAAATAGATTGTACATGCAGAGCCACCTTAGATGATTTCGCAATGCTTCACCGTCGCTCAATGTCGCTCAATGTCGCTCATTCGCTCGCAAAAAGAGATAGAATCTGCTCCGAACTGCTGAAAAGTCGCAGATGATATCTGGGTGACCACAAAGGGATATGACTTGGTGTGCAGCATCCAATTAGAAGCCACTTCAGAATCACTACCTTAGTATGATCTGAAGCTGCCCTGCAAACCCACGGATCCCACGGTTGCAAACTCTTTTTTGGAAGCTGAAAGCCATTGGAGAGAATGTCAAGAAGGTAATGGGATTTCGGTGACGGAAAGCAACTGAATCTGGCACAGGATCTGCAAAATTATGTGACTTCAACAGCAACTCCTGGTTCAGTCCAGTGTCTCAGATATGTTTGCGCACATAAAAGTCAATCTCGTTCCGAGGTTTTAATCTTTAACCAGAAAGTTTTCTTCATCATTCTTCATCTGTATGCTTCAAGTCTGACGCCAAGAGACTACGATCATCAGCACAATGATGCTCAAGGGCCACAGGAATGGCACGAAAATCAACGTCCTGAATTCACTGAAGGCAGTTCCCAAAAAAAATGGCGTTGTTTGACTGACGATTCATGAGATCACCGGATCGATCTCGGCAAGTCTCCAGTAGCAGTCTTTGCACCAGAAGTGATTGGCATACCATATCCAACCTGTCGAACGGCAAAAACTTCAAGTGAAAGGCCGGAAGTGTATGGAAATTATACAAGTGTAGTCAGATGTAGTCAGTGTCGTGTTCTGATGTCAGCTGTCCAGCTGCAAAATTCCAAGGATGGGAGACCTGCCCATGCAGCAAACATCACTGGAATCATCAGCACCTCAGGGAGAAGTGGTGACTGCGCTCCCAGCATCCAAGCTGTTACATGCTGTTACATGCTGTTACCACAGTGCTGCGCTGCAGTCAAGGCTCAATTGGTCTCACCAGGAGCAACACGAGTTGCAGCACGAGGCAGAGCGGACTCAATTGACTCCACCTGGTCGTGAATCAGCAAGAGAAACTCGCGAGAATTTCGAAAAGAACGCTTTCGAAAGGTTCTCGAAGGTCCTCGAAGGTTCCAACATGTTGCAACATCTGATCTGCTTCCGTCATTTTCCATTCTCATCATTCTCGCGTTTTTGAACGGTCAAGAACGGTCTGTCAGAATTGAAGTTGTCACATGTTGTCACACGGTCAACACGCCGTGAGTCCCTGAGTCCCTGAGTCCCTGCCTGTTCACTGGGAGAGAATCGATATTGGCGACCTCCTCCAAGCTCTTGTTCTCCACAATTTCATCACTGTGAGCGACCTGACAGATCTGGATCGATCTCTCGGATCGGGATCTCGGATCCAACAGGATCCAACAGGATCCAACAGGATCCAACAGGATCCAACAGGATCCAACGGAAATGACAAAGTGGAGTACTCCAAGTACATATGGAGTACTCAAAAAGAGCACTCAAAGAACGAAAAAGCCTGAAACTTCTGAAACCTTTTGCGGATTTGTCTGGGCTTCCCTGCTAGCACCAGATCTTCTCTTTCGAGGATGTGTTTGATCCTGGTAGCACCGAGCAAGACGAGCAAGACATGCAAGACCAGCATCATGAGTTGGAAATGAACTCAACAGACCACATCATTGTTTTGAAATTCAACAGAATCAACAGCTTGATTTCACACGACTAAGAACTAGGATTTCAGCCTTCTGGGTGGTTTCAGAGTGCAGTTCAAGTGTCTATTGGAATTGAACTGCAGCTTCTGAAAATTCTGAGGAATTGTGACGTACAGTGTTGTGACATATTGTGGCAGCATTGACTTCGAATGCAAGCTACACATGCAAAAGCGTGCAAAAGCAGTGGAAACGAGCGAGCAATCGGATCAACAAAGACCAAATGTATCCAATTGTGCCGAAATGAGCCGAAATGATTGACTTAAATCAAAGTGAACTGAGGAGAACTGAAGTATAACAGTATAACCTTTGCGATGAAGGCACACCGAGTCACACCTGCTTAGCTTCAAAGGCTTCAAAGCGCAGACAAGTCGCAGCTCGTCCAAGGTGTCATTCTCAAACAGCAAGGTTGGAGACAGCTCGCCGCCACGAAGCATGCCACCCAGCAGATTGATCACTCGAGTGAACTCCATCGAAGCCATGTGCAGATCCATGAAGGGAGTGTGGAAGTCTTCTTGCGTAATGGCCTCAGAATTACCATAGAAATCATAGAAATCATATAGAATTCGTAATCGCCACCATGGTCCACCATGGTCCAACATGCTGCTGACCAGCTGCACGACCCAGCACTGAAGCCACAGCACCGACCACCTCAAACCCATGAACAGTGATCAACAGCTTAACAGACAGCTATCAAGTGCCACCAGCTGCAACAAAATTGAAACAATGAAGAACAATGAAGAAACATAAATGTCCTGTGTCCAAACTTTCAGAGTAGAATAGTGTAGAATTAGAAGTAGCAGCAATTCTGAGAACCAGACTGCTGCTTCCTTGGTGGCAAAGTGCTTGTGAGTCTTCGTATGCGCCTGGCCCGTCTCAAGCGACTTGGCTCTGATCCTCGGGGCAAGGCCGGCAAGGCTTCAAGATTCAAGGACAATGGCAACGGGGCAACGGCCATTGGCAACGTGACTTCCATGGTGTGGCCAGTGCCGCAAGTGCCAGTGGCCAGTGGCCAGTGGCCAGCTATCTCCAAGCGTCTCATGCTTCAGCATCTTGCCAGAGCCAGTCATTGGAAAGCTTTCATGCCGCCAAATATGCACCTGACATTTCAACCACGGGCACAGAGCAATAAGTTGTAAGTGCCCTTGTGCAAGTGGATATGATTGAGTATGAGTGATAGGCATCTTCGCCTCACCCTGTGCCTACCTCCTGTACCTTTGGCAATTTTGGCCGAGAGCAAAGCCATTCTCAGCTTCATTCAGATCATTATTAGATCATTGTTCAATCATTCAGATTCATTCTCGGTCAACGGGTCGGTCCAAGTCACTGCTACTGGCACTTTGAAGGCGGCCAGTGACTCGGCGCATTTCCTGTCATCACTTCACTGGAACAACATCTCTTTGCTACAATCACGAGAAAACGGACTACAACGGCATGCTTCAAAAAGATTCAAAAAGCATACACTTGGACACTACAATCCAAGTTGTATCTTGTTGTCCTGTCCTGTCTTGAAAGAGTCAGGTTAGCTTGTCCACTACAACTTGTGGTTAGCTGTGCTCTGACCATCCAGGCCTGTGAATCCTCTCCTCCACTTCATCGTCATGTAATGGATGTAGGACCTTGGCAGAAATTAATTTGCACCAGGCATGGTACATGGTGTGCATATGCATGCATGTGCGGTATATATGTCACACAGAGATCCCTGGACATCCATTGGGATCGCTATCCATCAGCACTGAATCAGCAGTGAATCAGCACTCACAGCACTCAGCTCGAGGCCCCATCTTCTGCCAACATGACCGCACAATGGACCACCTGTCGGCAGCGGCCACTGGTAGAATGACCATGTTCTTTTTGAACACGGAAAGGGCCGGAAAGGGAAACCGAATCCCTAATATCCCTAGAATTGAATCCCTAGAAGAACGTTTGATAAGAGTTTGATATGGGCTTTCACCATCTTTCACCCAGAAAGATTGAAAGATTTGAAAGATGACCTTTCCGCTCGTTCCGTGCCAACTGAAGATTCGTTTACCATTGCAAAGCTGAGGCAATCAAGTGCTGATGGAGAAGCTGTGCCTCCCCCAAGGCTTCATCGGGTCCACCAAACCTTGGGGTCATGTCTTTGGCTTTCCATCAAGTTCTGCGACCTTTCTGAGACTTATCTGACCTATCTCCAATTTGAAGTGAGTGAGGGCTGTCTAAGGACTCGACACTGCACAACGAAAGATGCCAGGCAACCTCGAGTGCAAAACACACAGACTTTTCTGCCAAGTTGCCCAAGGGACCAAGGGATACCGAGCAAATCCGAGCACGTCGCGCCGGTCGCGATTCCGAGCCTTGTGATGACCTGCTCTACTTCCATTGCGAAGACGTTTTCACCACCAACGATGATCATGTCCTGCCAAGCCCCCCGAAATCTGACATCCTAGTGATCCCCATAGTGGGCCACAGAAAAAATGGAGAAAACCAAACGGGAAAATCACGGGAAAATCTGGGAAAATGAGGATTTTGCCCAATTCTTGCGGTTTTATCATATGTTTTATCAATGTTATCGATAAAAAATTGGGCAAAAAACAACATTCTTTAAGAAGCCGTTTGACGTGGCCACTCCTTGGATCGGCCACTGATGTACAGCTGCTTCTGTTTGTTCTTGTAGCCCAAGTCTCCACTGCGAAAGTAGCCATCCTTGGTAAAGGCCTCAGACATTCGGTTTCCCATAGAAAATATATGAAAATATCTCCAGAATATGTTCAAAAAGCATCAAAAAGCATCAAACAGCCTCAAAAGACTCGAATTCCGTCTTTTTTTAACTTCAACGGTTGGCTTAATCTCCATGGATCGGTGAACTGAGAACTGCTGTAGCTGTAGATCTAGACGAGAGAAAAGTCTGAAACAGCCTTGCCTCAAGATTCATATCTGGAGCATTGTCATACCCAGCAAAGAAGGTTGGACCGCGGATGCAAATCTCGCCCACCTGAATCATGTTTCGGCCAAGCCAATGGGACTACAATGCAGCATTGTCATGCAAAGTCTGTATAGTTACTGCATAGTTTCATCATGTTTCATCGCTTATGTTTGACATTGTTTGCAAAGGACGTCTTCGTCTTTGTCGTCGAACTGTCGTCGAACTGTCGTCGAACTGTCGTCTTTGTTTGGCTTCCTCGATATGCTGTTTTGATCTCTGCACATGCGTTCCACTCAATTTTCACACCAAGGTCTGGCCGAAGCACGGTGCCGCTGGGCACTTCCCCATCGCTCTCGTTGAGGATTCGAAGATCAAGACCTGCCGTGGCGCAACGGCTTTGTCAAATATGGGAAATAACTGAGCGCTTCTAGGAGCGCAAGCGCGTTGTATACTTTTTATTACTTTTTAACCTCAGTGTGGGGTTAGGGTTGGCTTCGGGGTTCAAGGCCTACGGGCAACGTAGCCAAAAACAAGGCCATCTATGGCCACGCCCAGTTATGGTCTTGTAGATTCTTACAGATTCTGATGTCAATGTCCTTTTCCGCTTTTCCACACAGCTGCACGGCCTAAAAACATTGACCCAACTTCTCGTCTCAGAAATATCGTAATATCACGAAATGTCTAGACGCTTAGAAAATGATGGATGTCCTCAAGACCGGAAAATCATGCCCGTCTACCGTGTACCGATCCGTATCACAGTTTCTGACCATGGCATCAGTTCATGTCACATGTCAGATAGTGTTCTTCAGAATTCCTCAACCTAAATTTTCCAAAGTCCGCCCCTCAACTGCTGAACTCACACCTGGGAGCACCGTCATGCCATCTTCTTCCGGTTCCAAGGACTCGTTCTTGAAGGCACAGTGCACCGTCGCCTTGCCGGTCCAAATCCATCCAACCACAATCAGTAACCAGAAGTAACCAGCAGAAAACCAGCAGCCACCACGGCCCAAGACACCATAACCCTCCACTGCCTCAGTCATGCCATAGCCTTGGATGAATTGGCATCCAAAGGCCTCCAAGGTGTGAAGCAATTTGAAGCTGTTGAAAACTTGGAATCACCTTTAAAACCTTTTAAATCGGATGGTTGGCACTCACAATGACTCCTTGCTCCCGTCATAACACAAACAATATTGGAACAAACAGTTAGAACAAACCGGGTTTAACAGACAATATTAGAACAAACCATGAACCAGGTTTCAAACAAACCGTTAGAAGTTGGGGTTCAAACATTTATAATCACTACAAATGTGTATATATATATACATACATATACATATGTATATATATATATACTTATATATACACACATACATATCCTCTCATATTCAATCTATTTCTGCTTCATATTTCATAAACGTTCTGCCTCCTTGGTCTTCTCGATGACGTCCAGAGTCGGTTTCATACCTCCGGTGAGAACCTCAGAGAAAAATTCAACATGTGGAATTTCTTCCATTTCTTGGACCTGATGAATGCATGTTATGCATGTTATGTATATGATGTATATGTATATGTATATCTATATCATAGATAGATAGATAGATAGATAGATAGTTAGATAGATAGATAGATAGATCGGTAGATAGATAGATCGGTAGGTAGATCGATAGATAGATAGATAGATAGATAGATAGATAGATCGGTAGATAGATAGATAGATCGGTAGGTAGGTAGATAGATGGATAGATAGGTAGATAGGTAGATAGGCAGATAGATAGAAAGAGAGAGAGAGATAGACATAAATGTACATATAAATGTACATATAAATGTACATATAAATGTACATATAAATGTACATATAAAGGTACATATGAATGTACATATAAATGTACATATAAATGTACATTTAAATGTACATAAAATACATGTACATATAAATATAAATGTAAATGTACATATACATGTACATATAAATGTACATATAAATGTACATGTAAATGTACATAAAATACATGTACATATAAATATAAATGTACATATATATATATGTACACATCAATGTACATATGAATGAACATTTCGATGTACATATAAATGTAATTATATTGTATGTATATTCTGTGGACATATGTCAGCTTCATGTCATAGTCATAGTTAGTCATAGTTCAATGTTCTGGGGATCGGGCCCACTTCAGTTTGTGGAATTTCATGCTGCGGGTTTTCTCGGCACTGAGGAGGTATTTCAGGATCGTAGGCATCAGCTTCACCATCGTCACCTGTGCTCAGCACATGGCACACGTGTTACTTCGACTGACCCACGATAGTCACGAGAATCCAATCACATATCCAGATAATTCATGATAATTCATGATAATTCCAGATATCCATACTTGAGAGGGGGACGAAAGGTAGGTGGGGGCATATCTCTCAACAACTTTTTGCGCTCATCCTGTTTCAATATCGAACTTTCCCTTCCCCCTAGGTGCCTTTCAATTTCCTACGTCCATTTCGCTTCATACGTAGACTTCCCCCATTGGCCTCTCCACCACTTCTTACGTTTTTGTTGTTGCAATATCCGAACTTCCCCGGCATCAACAACTTCTTGCACGCATCTTGTCTCAATATCTAAATTCCACCCACCCTGTGCCATAGACAGTAATAAGAACCACAAGCAAGATAACGTAATGTTACTCAGTTTGTTGGCCAACTATGTGAAGTAGAGGGGCCAAGGTGCCTCAACCGATGGACGCTCGGTTGAGGCACTTTGCGTGTAGGGATAGGTCTTTAGGGATGTAACCTTCATGCGACTCAGTTCGTGAGGATGTCTGAAGCAAAAGCAACATCAAGAATTGCAGGAGACGAAACCGCCCTTGTTCCGTGGGAACTATCAAAAGGCTGGTGGCTCAGGGATAAGTGTCGCTGCGAAGGGACATACTGCTATTGTTTTCTTATCTAACATGAGCATTGTCCATGACCTGTGAAGAACATCGAGCCGTCTCGTAAAGTATTCCAGTTGGGCAGAAAAAAATGCCATGGCAATAGTATCAAAGTAGGCAGGTGCAAACAGCCATTGCAATGGACTTTCTTCTGTCATGACTCTAGAACGCAACGTACATGGATTGGAATTGCATGTGTGCTGGGTGAAACAGGATGCGCGTGCGCTGGGGTATCAGAAGAGGTTGAGGTAAATAGGAAAACTTTTGCACACGCAAGTCATCTTTCCTTCCTACCTGCCTTCCTTCCTTCCTTCCAGGAAATGACAATACAGTAACCCATATCTAGGAGATTGTAACGCGCAGCTTATTCCCTGCCAGTGTGGGCGCCAACCGATCCGGATAGTAAGCGCTAGTCAAAGTGACAGAACGTCGCTGCAGAAGATCACGCGCGTCAACTCAGTCGGGGCACGCACAACCTGAACGCATGCAGACCTTCAGAGCACTCTGGGCACGCTTGAACTGGGGCTCGCAGGGGCTGATGCTTGCGCATTGAGATGGGGTCGGCGCTCCTGGGTGAAGCACTCAACAGTAGTGGCCAAGCAATAGGCTATCTGAGAGTTCGAGGCAATTTTCTGCGTGTGCACTGCACATCTAGAACATACTGTGCTTCAACTGGCAGCCGCAATGACGATACATTAACCCGTATCTGGAAACTTATTTCTTGAGGCTAGCAGCGGAGCCAACAATATACGTGGCTGAATCCGGACCAGGGAGGAATCGAAGGGTTGAAGGGGGGGGGCCCCCGTATGTTCGACCCTTGGAGGCTATATCGCAAGCCAAGATGCTATGCATCAATACTATTCAATACTAATCGAGGAAGCAAAACAAAACATAGGGGCAAAATGGACGCAACTGATTCTGCCTCCTTCGGGGCGTACTAGGCCTTCCAGAAAGAAAAAGAATATCAAACAACAGTCACGGAACAGATGAGAGCCGATGAGGCCGATGGAGTTGCTGGAGCCGCTAGAGCCGATGAGGCCGATGGAGTTGCTGGAGCCGATGTGTCCGATGGAACCGATGACGGAAATAGATAAATTAAAGGAAATAGATATGTGATATGTGTATATACACATATAATATATGTATATACACAGGTCAACGTTGTATTCCGTAACTAATAGGAACGGATTCGGTCACTAATCTTCGGGAACTTATCTTCCGAAACTTATCTTCAGGCACTAAAAGGGATATCTTCAGTAACTTATCTTCGGAAACTTATAAAACTGTATTCGGAAACTGATTGTAGCCCTGATATTCGAGAACTTATATTCTGTAACAAATGAAATTAATCTTCGGTCACTTATCTTCCGTAACTTATCTTCAGAAAGATATATTCTGTAACTAATGACAACAATCTTCGGTCACTGATCTTCCGTAACTTATCTTCAGAAACTTATATTCGGTAACTCATGAAAACAATATGTGGTAACTTATCTTCCGTAACTTATCTTCAGAAACTTATATGCAGTAACTCAGGAAGACATCTTTGGAGACTTATCTTGGAAACATATAGAACTGTTGTCTCAAACTTAAGTTCGGAAACTTATCGGAAGATCTCCGGAAAAGATCAAATGCGAGGAAGCTCTGCCGTGGCCTTGCGCTAGTGAATCAGAATGAAAGACTTCCTCCTGCTGCCTGCCTTTGCTAATACATATTTTTCTATCTGCTTCTGCATTCCAGGAAGTGATTTTAGAACTATGAATCAGAATGCTATTGCATGTAGGGCTTTGGGGGGGGGAAGTTTTAAAAATGACTTAGGATCGTGAGAAGATTTCTATATGTAAGGTGAGGGTTCTGAATTGAGGAGTATTATTGCGATTAGAGCTTTGGGGGGGGGAAGTTTTAAAAATGACTTAGGATCGTGAGAAGAACTCTATGTAAGAGGAGGCTTCTGAATTGAGGAGTATTATTGCATGTAGAGCTTTGGGGGGGAAGTTTTTAAAATGACTTAGGATCGTAACAAGAACTCTATGTACGGGGAGGCTTCTGAATTGATGAATACTATTGCATGTAGGGCTTTAGGGGGGCAAGTTTCAAAAATAACTTAGGATCGTAAGAAGAACTCTATGTAAGAGGAGGCTTCTGAATTGAGGAGTATTATTGCGATTGGAGCTTTGGGGGGGGAAGTTTTAAAAATGACTTAGGATCGTGAGAAGAACTCTATGTAAGAGGAGGCTTCTGAATTGAGGAGTATTATTGCATGTAGAGCTTTGGGGGGGAAGTTTTTAAAATGACTTAGGATCGTAACAAGAACTCTATGTACGGGGAGGCTTCTGAATTGATGAATGCTATTGCATGTAGGGCTTTGGGGGGGGAAGTTAAAATGACTTAGGATCGTAAGAAGAACTCTATGTAAGGTGGGGCTTCTGAATTGAGGAGTATTATTGCGATTGGAGCTTTGGGGGGGGAAGTTTTAAAAATGACTTAGGATCGTGAGAAGAACTCTATGTAAGGAAGGCTTCTGAATGGAAGTATTATTGCATTTGGAGCTTTGGGGGGGGAAGTTTTTAAAATGACTTAGGATCGTAACAAGAACTCTATGTAAGGGGAGGCTTCTGAATTGATGAATGCTATTGCATGTAGGGCTTTGGGGGGGGGAGTTTTTAAAATGACTTAGGATCGTGAGAAGAACTCTATGTAAGGTGAGGGAGGCTTCTGAATTGAGGAGTATTATTGCATGTAGAGCTTTTGGGGGGGAAGTTTTAAAAATGACTTAGGATCGTGAGAAGAACTCTATGTAAGAGGAGGCTTCTGAATTGAGGAGTATTATTACGATTAGAGCTTTTGGGGGGGAAGTTTTAAAAATGACTTAGGATCGTAAGAAGAACTCTATGTAAGAGGAGGCTTCTGAATTGAGGAGTATTATTACGATTAGAGCTTTTGGGGGGGAAGTTTTTAAAATGACTTAGGATCGTAACAAGAACTCTATGTAAGGGGAGGCTTCTGAATTGATGAATGCTATTGCATGTAGGGCTTTGGGGGGGGAAGTTAAAATGACTTAGGATCGTAAGAAGAACTCTATGTAAGGTGAGGCTTCTGAATTGATGAATACTATTGCATATAGGGCTTTAGGGGGGGGAAGTTTAAAAATGACTGACAATCTTCGGGAAACCAGTGGCTGAATCCGAAAGTATTTGTTCTCGAAGCCTCACACATTCGTGCTGGAAGATTTGTGCTGGAATCTGGTCACAAAAGTTCTGGAAGATTGACCATTCGTGCTTGAAGATATGTGGCTGAAACCTACATTTGTTTTTCTCGAATCCGATCATATTTGTGCTGGAAGATTTGTGCTTGAATCTGCACGCAAGAGTTCTCGAATAGTATCCATTCGTGCTTGAAGATTCGTGGCTGAATCCGAGCACGTTCGTGGCGGAATCCTGGGACATTCGCGGCAGAAGCTTAAGTGGCTGAATCCGATACGTGCTTGAACCGGAATTTGTTCTATATACACACACATATATATATACACATTTATATGGGTATCGTATCCATAATTTTTAGATATACCACTTCACTATAATGTTTCATTTCTGCGGCCAAGCTAAAGGTGCACATGGGCAATGTGAATAGTATGAACAACGCGCGCCACAATGCAAAGCACGCACGCTTTGGAAGCGGCGCTTGGCGCCGGAGATAAATGCTATGCAGATTTACTAATAAAATCAATGGGAATTTCAGGATCCTAAAATGGAGGTACTGTACCATATAAGGCCATATTTTGTGGGGATATTCCCTTACATAGGCCTTACATAGGCCTCATATATGGTAGGTACCTCCAATTTAGGAACCTGAAATGGCCATTGATAAAAAGAGAGTTGCAGGTTACGGCTATACATCTGTACCCATTCTACCTTGCTTACATGCACAGGATGTGGTGCCGCAAAATCGACGCTAAGTGTCAATGGCACGGGGCCACCCCCCCTTATGTGGAGATTCCTTACTTCCAGCCGTCAATTTCCGGGAAAGGACCAACCACCTCCCCCAATACTAAACTAGAACTAAAGTACATAGAACTCAGGTAGCCTAGGCTACGTTTCGTGATCAAACATATCAAGTATATCAACGGACACCAAGGACTCACATGTCACACCCAGAAGAAATCCGAACCTGGTCATCTTGCATCATGTTCGCCACCTCTATGAACTGAAACTGGTTCCTGGGTATTTGGAAACATCATAGCATGCCACTTTTTATGCAAAGTGCTGCAAGGAAACATGAGATATGAAGAAAAAAGTACTTGTGGCAGCAAATAAAATAGATGTGTTTGCTGTGGACACGTATGGACACCATATCGCCATTCTGTTTCCAACCTTTGTGCAAGTTCGCTGGAGAGACCAGCCACTTACAATGTGTAAGTCAGCAAAGTCACTCGTGAAAGACTTGTCGAGCTCCCACCATTGCCTTGCTTTGTCAACATGTCGCGGCTTCTAAAGTCGACACCCACAGCACATGTCTCATGCGTTCCCACAGCGCAATGTTCAGCATGTTCCCTTTGCTTTGGAGGTCACCTCCCAACACTACACTGCTAAGTTTACAGTAAGTTTACTAGATGAAGCTGACTATTCTCCCTTCAAAACCGGCACAGCTGTTTGCAGAATCCTCTCTATTTCTGTCTATGGAAGAAAATCATTTGCAAGTGACTTTCACCAAGCAACGCTTATCCAGATAAAGGCAGGAGTTCCACAGTGAAAGAGAGGGCCGAAGTGCCCCCAGCAATCACCTTCGTTTTCGTTGATGCCCAATGCCTGCATTGTGCCTAAGGTTGGAGGGCAAAGGAGAGGCACAGAGAGGCAAGGAATTGAGTGGTGGGGCAAAGGAACCGCACAGACAAACAAGCAGCATACAAGCAGCACAACCGTCAGAATCTCTTAGTGCAGCTGTCACTGTTAAAATTTGCGGAGAAATGGTGACTGCCTTACTAAAGTCTACTGCTGAGGCACTGAGAGTGTGATGGTACACATTCCTCGGCTCAACCGGTTCAATGTCTGAGCCTAGAAGGGTTTGTACACGCATACAACTGACATCGTTTGACACACTTGCACAAGCTGTCACAAGCTGTTTGATTCCTTTTTTGTCTTCGACCAAGGCTCTTGTGTGTGTGACTCACGCTCTTTGGGGCTCCTGTGCTTCCCGAAGTGAAGAATCCTTGTAGCCAGGTGTCCTGACATCTTCGGTGCGGCAAGACGACAAGAAACGACAAGAAACGACAAATTTGATGTCCAAATATTTGGTGAAACTGGCAGGATCACTCGCCCAGGGCGTCACAGGATCATTGACAGTCACTGTCAGTTTGTGGAATTGGCAGTTTGGCTCCTCTTGGACGGGTGGAGCTTGAAAACTTTCGTTGGTTTCATAGAGACTTAACATTGACAGCGACTCTACCAACGGTTCGTTGAAGTCGTCTGGAATGTCATGCCTGGGTGACCACAAGTCCAGCTGGCTGCAGCGAAAACGTTGTTTTTTGAGGCACTTCCAATCCCTTCTGCCCCCCGAAAGCACCAAGGTATCCAAGCCCCGAAATTGTGTCAAATTCATCGGCAAAATATATATCAGCTACTAGCAAATATCAAACCAAGTTCGATCCATAAAAGCGTTGGTTGCAAGATTGCCCGGCATTTCTGGTACTCAAAAGTTGAATCAATCAAACGCAAAACTGCGCTCAGCACTCCCTGAACCAATGGGTTTAAGAAGTGACAAAACTGAAAGAGAACACCCCATCCGAAAGCCTGACAAGTAGCTAATTCTGCGAGAAAAATAATACACAACAGTGTGGCCCCAAAGAAAACAGGAGGAAGGAGATCAAAACAAGATGGAATAACGTATGACGACAACGGATGATGAATGATGATGAATGATGATGAATGATGATGAATGATGAATGAAGATGATGATGCATTGTGGCTGATGTATGACTGATGTAGAAAAAACAATATACAACCAGTCACAGTTTGAAATATGTTTCGCCCAACAGGAGATTTGCTCCCGAGTTGTCGCCTGACTGACAGTCAGAATCACCAGAATCGCATTGTCAATGTAGACACATACGTTTTTCCACACAGAAATTCTTACACAGAGAAACCCGGAAGCCTTTGCACCCAACAATTTACATGCATGTATATATATATATATACATATTATATTTATATACATATTATATTTATATACATATTATATTTATATACATATTATATATATATATTATGTATATACATATATTATGTATATATTATGTATATATATATTATGTATTATGTGTATGTACATATATGGCGATTGATCTAAATTCCTTTATCTGCAAACGGCCATTCTTCGCGAACATTTTTTTTGCGAATCTTTCGCGAACTCCATGTTTATTTTTTGCGGAACCCATGTTGAGCAACAACTCCTCTTGTGAAGATTCCTTCATCACCTGCCAAGTCACACCAAATTGTCACGGATAACTTCTTCATAGCCTTGTAAACATGCAGCTAGCATCACGGAACCCCCCTTCTTAGGAGAGGTTGTTGCTGATTAGGCATTTTTTTTGCAAAGCTTGCTGGGCCGCTCCCTTCAAAATGCATTTTGATTTTCGCCCACTCCTTCGCAGAACTTCCGAGGAACTTTCGTACCCGCAGACCCCAGCCATCAGCAGGGGGCGCATCAGAAGAAAAGCAAACACCAGGGGCCTTGGTGTTTGGCTCCCGCAAAGCCTCACTTTTGGAAGCTTGGCTGCTGCATTTGGAGCTTGTTTCTTGAGACTTCAGAAAGCAACGTTAGCCAATACAAGCGGCAGGTGCAAGGATGTGCTTCAAGACCATGGTATTTGGCTGCGGTGAAACCTCACCTTCGGAAGCTTGGCTGCTACCTATGAGGGGAAAGGTAAATGTGCGGTACCATTCTCCTGCCAGACCCCCGGGCGGCCGGAGGCCGGAGGTGGTAGCCCTTAACAAGCTGTAATGTATACAATCATATCCAACTTTCGCGAAATTTTCCCGAATTCTTTTGCGAACTCACAAAAAAACTTTCGCAAGGGTTCCCATCATAACATGAACGGTTTCTGCAATTAAAGCTCTTTACAAGGACCTCTAGGTCGATCACCATATATATATATACACACACAACGTTTTTACACAAAGAAGTTTTTACACACTTGCACACTTCACACAGACGCTTTTACACACATTTGTTTTAACCCAGAGCATCCTTCACTCAGAGATTTTTTGTGCACACAGAAGCGATTGCACGCAGACGTTTTTACACAGAGAAACCATTTACACAGAAACCTTTGCAGAGAGAAACAGTTACACGCGGCAATTTTTACACACAGACGTTTCTACACGCAGAAGCCTTTGCACAGAGCCGTTTTTGCACAATTTTGTTTTACACACAAAGTTTCTACACAGAGAAACCCTCACACAAAGCAGTTTTTACACGTCACAACACAGCTTTTACACACAGACGCTTCTACACACACAGAAACCTTTACACAAAGCACTATTTACACAAAGTACAAAGATACACAAAAGGAGTTTTTGCAGAGAGATTTTTCCGTACAAAAAAAAAAACGCAAAGAAACCTTTCCCACAGAGCAAGTTGTACATAAAACAGTTTTCACACGCAGAAACCTTTTACACACAGGCATTTTTGGCACAAAGAGGCATCTGCACAGATTTGTTTTTACATGTGTCAAAATCATTGTTTTACCTCAGCTACTGAAATCCAACCGCTTAGCAAAATCGCAAAGGCGCCTGCCAGGGATTAACAAAGGGTGCAGAATTGTTTTTGGTATTTTTTTTTTTTACAGTTTTGGAATTTTTTTTGGGGTTCGTGCCTCTTCAATTTTTCCATGGTTTTCCAATGGTTTTCTGCAAGTTTTCCATGGTTTTCTTCAATTTTTCCATAGTGTTCTTCAATTGTTCCATGGTTTTCTTCAATTTTCCATCGTTTTCTGCAAGGTTTCTTTGGTTTTCTTCAATCAATCAATCAATATATATATATATATGTATGTGTGTATGTATGTATGTATGTATGTATGTATGTATGTATGTATGTATGTATGTATGTATGTACGTAGGTAGGTAGGTAGGTAGGTATGTATGCATGCATGCATGTATGTATGTATATGCAGGGTGTAGTTTAGGGTTTAGGGATACAACATGTAATTAGGTATGGGTGTGAAATAGTTTTAGGAATTTTTTTTTGAACAGGTTTGGGAATTTTTTTTGGATTTCTTGGCTGGTACCATTTGCCTAGTGTTTGCAACGGTTTGGAACTTGAATTTGTCATTTTGCATGGTATTTGCCACATTTGGGCATGTTCACCTTCCATTTTGCATGGGATTTACTACATGTGGGCATGTTAACCTTCCATTTTGTATGGTATTTGCCACATTTTGGCATGTTCACCTTCCATTTTGCATGGGATTTCCTACATGTGGGCATGTTCACCTTCCATTTTGTATGGTATTTGCCACATTTTGGCATGTTCACCTTCCATTTTGCATGGGATGTTCTACATGTGAGCATGTTCACCCAAATATTTACAGATGCGGAAGCTTGGGATTAGATAAAAAGCGGGTGGGGGGGATTGAGGGAGGGCGCTAGCTATCTATCCAGCTAGCTAGCTATCTAGCTATCTAGCTAGCTATCTATCTAGCAAGCTAGCTATCTATCTAGCAAGCTATCTATCTATCTAGCAAGCTATCTATCTATCTAGCTATCTATCTACCTATCTAGCTAGCTATCTTGCTAGCTATCTATCTACCTATCTAGCTATCTAGCTAACTATCTATCTAGCTATCTAGCTATCTAGTTTTCTATCTATCTAGCTATCTATCTATCTAGCCATCCAGCTGTCTATCCAGCTATCTAGCTATCGAGCTAGCTATCTATCTAGCAAGCTAGCTATCTATCTAGCAAGCTATCTATCTATCTATCTAGCTATCTACCTATCTAGCTAGCTATCTTGCTAGCTATCTATCTACCTATCTAGCTATCTAGCTAACTATCTATCTAGCTATCTAGCTATCTAGCTTTCTATCTATCGATCTATCTATCTAGCTATCTATCTAGCTACCTCTTTATCTATCTAGCTATCTATCTATCTAGCTATCTATCTAGCCATCTATCTATCTAGCTATCTATCTAGCCATCTATCTATCGAGGTATCTAGCTATCTATCTCTCTAGCTATCTATCTATCTAGCTGGTTATCTATCTATCTAGCTATCTATCTACCAAGCTATCTATCTATCTATCCATCCATCCATCCATCTATCTGTCTATATAAATAATATAAATATATCTAGATATAAATATACAAGTGTGTATATAAATGCATATATATATATACATATGTATATATACATATACATATATACATATATATGTAAATATATATATATATATTATGATTTTTAATTGAAACATAAATATATATATATATGAATATAGTCGATTCAAACTAGTGTATTGAAAAATGTGCAAGTTTGACATACTAAAAATACCACCAAAAGCCATGGAAAGCAAGCCAAAAGCCAAAAGCAAACAAGCAAAAAGCAAAAAAGCAAAAAAGGCAAAAAATAACAAAAAGCAAAAAAACAAAAAGCAAACAAGCAAAAAAGCAAAAAAGCAAAAACGCAAAAAATCAAAAAAAAGCAAAAAAGCACAAAAGCAAACAAGCAAAAAAGCAAACAAGCAAAAAAGCAAACAAGCAAAAAAGCAAAAAAGCAAAAAAAGCAAAAAAAAGCAAAAACACAAAAAAGCAAAAAAGCAAAAAAAGCAAAAAAAAGCAAAAACGCAAAAAAGCAAAAAAGCAAAAAAAGCAAACAAGCAAAAAAAACAAAAAAAACAAACAAAAAAGCACAAAAGCAAAAAGGAAAAAAAAAAGAGAAAGCAAGATAAAACAAGAAACCCCAAAAAAAATCCAAAAACGTAAAAGAAAAAAAATCCAAAAAAAAATAGGCCTCCATTAACAAAATGGCATTTCACCCCACGTTTTTCTTCCGACATGCGCAATCTCCGCAAAGGGGCGCCCGTGCACCAAACAAATTAAAGTCGCGATGTAAGTGATGTAGATATATGTAGATGATGAAGACGATAATGATGATGTAGGTGATATAGTGAATGATGATTACGATGATGATGATGATGATGATGATGATACTGCTGGTGGTGGTGGTGGTGGTGGTGGTGGTGGTGGTGGTACTGGTGATGTAGGTCATGTAACTCATGTAGCTCATGTAGCTCATGTAGCTCATGTAGCTCATGATGTGCATAATGTGCATGATGTGCATGATGTGCATGATGTGCATGATGTGCATGATGTGCATGATGTGCATGATGTGCATGATGTGCATGATGTAGTTGTTGTGTGTATGTGATGATGAAGTAAATGCGGGGATGTGAAAGTTGAATTTGGCAGTTGTTCTTTGGTAATTAACTTTTTAAAAAAATGAAGGAGCTTTCGGAAAACACAAACCAGTGGAGATTTGGGCTCAAGTAACACCATAGTAACACCATGACTCCATGACCCGGATCTATCCGGATCTAGTTTCACCATGTTTCACCAGGATGCACCCAGGCAATGACGCGGACCTTGGCACTTGCCCAGGACACCTGCACTCAGGTAAGAACGACATTGGACATCTTGGCTCCATGCCCGTCATTCATCATTGAATCCACAAGATCCAGGGTTATATGAAACTTAAAATAATATATTGAAATATCATATCCCAATTTGTAGTGGCGGAACCTGAAGCAAATCATCCCAGTCCAAAGAGTCCAAAAGGACCAAATTTGTTGAGGATCTCAGAAGATCTCAACGGAGTATTTTGATGTGTCTGAGTCCTGCATGTCTTTCAGAAACCTCCCACTTGAATGGTGACTCCTGTGGCCTCGCTCAGAAACTGTGCAAAGTCTTCGCTGGCAAAGAGCAAAGGACTGTGCCCACGTTCGAAAAGCAATTGGAGCCTCGGCTCGGCTCAGCTCCACCAATGTGATTGGTGCAACGTAGAGTGAACGTATAGTCAATCATTGTGAGTTGAGCGCTCAGTTCCACAGCTACGCACAGGCAAAGGCTATTGAAGGGTTCTTGGATCTTAGGTTTGCAGCTCGCAAAGGTCAAGAAATAGTTGTCCCACGTTGCCGGAAACATTTTGAAACCGAAACCGCCAGAACTCCAAACCGACAGCTAAGAGGCTCCTCTGTCATCAAACGGTGATTCAAACACACTATCTTTGCTCGTGTCGCAGCCGCTGCAAAGAACAGGTCCTCAGGAAAATCGACGCACGTTCCACAGGGATCCAAAGGGCAAGCTCCAGTTGTGATGTTCTGTGTGAAACCAGGCGTTGAAGGGGAAAATTTCACTCTCCATCCAGAGAGCAGTGAACCAATGACACCGAGGCACCACGTGGCTTGTGCAGTTGGGCAACAACACAGAAAAGCTGTGATGTCCCCCATTTGTCCGTTGCGCCTTAAATCAAGGCGACTGACAGGTCCAAAACTTTCGGGAGAATAGAAGTAAAACATCAATTGCATCGCACTGCTGTGCATGCAACCTGCCTCGAGGATATTGAGAATCGACGCACTCAGGCGTTCCACCTGAAAGCAACGAATGGTCAACACTCAGCAGAGCATGCAGTGCATGTTGGAATGAAGACAATGTGCACTGGACATGACATCATTAGACTTCTTCCCACGCCTTCTTCAATACTTGGCCATAGGTCACTGACACAATATCGCCGTGAATAGCTTCGGTGTATGCCACATTTCCCGCCTCAGGGATGCCGGATGCCCACCTTTCTACCTTTTAAGCACCCTAAATGGTGACTCTGACTGTCCAAGTTCAAATGGTTGTCATGATGCTATCACGCTCTGTCTTCCAAGCGGCGTATTTGCCCGAGCAATTTGTGACAATCAACTGCCAAAGATCTGGCATGTTCCTCGCAAAGTTTGACCAGGAACTCGCGGGAAAGAAAACAGAATGATTCAAGGTCAGCCGATTAGCAATAAATCGTTGATTTGTTGATGCGCGTGTTGCCATTAGTGCAATGGGAAATTGAAACAAAATTCATCAGTTTAACATCAAAGGTCAAAAACATTTGTGCATCCACCCCAACACAGTTGACCCAAATTGTCCTGTCTATTATTGTGGTACTGGTAGATACCACGTTGGGTGCGCATTCACCGTCACAAGCATTGCCAAACAAGTACTTCATTCACCTGTCACAGGATTTCTATGCGCGATCCACCCATTCCGAACAAAAAACTGCACAAACAGAAACTCAAACTGCCAATGCTGGAAACAAATGAGGACGCCACCTGGCGGGTGATGTCTGTTTCAAGCAGCTTGATCTAAAAGGTCAGCGGGTCCAGAGAAGTACAAAAATGCAACAGAATGCAACAAAAACAAATCTATGCAATTTTCACCAATGTGCGCAGCAATTATCAGATTGCAAATCCAGGTGACACAAAGATTTGCAAAGTTAAAAATCAGTGCCGTTTAATTTTTCCTGTGAATCAACATTACCAAAACAAGCTTTAACATTGAAACAGAAGAAATGTTTTTGTCGGCCTCGATATGTTGCATCAAATGCAAAATCGTGAAATGTTTCATCCTCTTAGGGTGCTGAACATGTTTTTCTGTTTTTATGCGTTTGAACGCCCTTGTGTTTCCGAGGTGCCATTTTTTTGTTGTTTTTTGATGATTTTTTTTGGGGGGTATGTGATGGTATGTGTCATTGTTTGTCACATCATTGTGTGTGGTTTGTGTAAAAGATTGCAATCGTGAGGTCTGGATTTCAATTAATTTTCACTGCAACCACTTTGCAAATCATGTTTTCACTTTGAATCTACGTTTTGTGCATGTTCAGTTGTGAACAAAATTGATATGGAAATGCACCCGAATGCCGCTATGTTTCCTTTCCCCACCTTGGCCTATGCATCCCCAGAGGCCATAGGCAACCATTTTTCAAAAAGTAGTTCAAATACGTTCAAATCGTCCCGGCACGTCTCAAATCCTTCCCTGAAATTTTGTTCATTAGTCCATTCCATTGACTCATTCCTCCGTTCAAACGTTCCATGACATGTCGAATTCACGAAAAGGACAATTAAAAATGGCGCATGGATGTTTCACTTGTTGCCATATTTTGGTTCACGTCCACCTTGGGGAGACCAAAACTGCATGCATAAACAATTGCCATAAATTGGGTGGTACAAACTGTCCAATCTGCGCGTTGTCGCACGCATCCTTACATTACAAACTAGACGACGGTTGGCCCGAGAGCGAAAAACACGTCCTTCAAGCAGCTCTGAGTATGGTAGTCGTAAAAAATAGTCGGTGAATGGTTGGTGAATTTTATATGAGCTATGGAGGGGAAAGTTGTGAAATTACACACAGACGCTTTTACACACAAACACTTTCACAGACGCGTTTACACACAGAGACTTTTACACACAGACGCTTTTACACACAGACACTTTTACACGCAGACGCTTTTACACAGAGGCGCTTTTACACGCAGACGCTTTTACACACAAACACTTTCACAGACGCGTTTACACACAGAGGCTTTTACACACAGACGCTTTTACACACAGACACTTTTACACGCAGACGCTTTTACACACAGGCGCTTTTACACGCAGATGCTTTTCCACACAGAAGCTTTTACACACAGACACTTTTACACAGAAACGCTTTTACACACAGACCCTTTTACACACAGACCCTTTTACACACAGACGCTTTTACACACAGACGCTTTTACACGCAGATGCTTTTACACACACACACACACTTTCATACACAGAGGTTTTTACATACAGAAGCTTTTGAAGAGTGTCTCTATATGACATTTTATGGTCCTGAACTCAAACGGTTCTGTTTTTGACATCAAGCACATGATTCCATCGAGCTCTGTTGCAAACGTTTGCAGACATTTCACTAGTGAAGTATTGTCACATGTGTCATTTACAGCATCATGGTACCGATCTTTTTTGGGCCATTTATGTGGGATTTTCCATAATAAAATGAAATAACATGTGTCATACACAGCATCATGGTACCGAGCTTTTTTGGGCCATTTATGTGGGATTTTCCATACTAAAATGAAATGACATGTGTCATACACGGCATCATGGTACCGACCTTTTTTGATAGTTTCTGTGGGATATTCCCAGAATAAAATGAGATAACGCGTGTCATTTACTGCATTATGGTATTGGACCTTTTTTTGTGCAAACGTTTGCAGACATGTCACTAGTTTACAGAAGCTTTACACACACACACAGAAGCTTTTACACACAGAAGCTTTTACACACACACACACGTTTTTCTTTTACACACGCACACACACACATTCACACACAGAGGCTTTTACACACAGACGCTTACACAGAGACTTTTACACACAGAAGCTTTTACATCACACACACACATACACACGGACACGCTTTTCTTGTACACACACACACACTTTCACACACAGAGGCTTTTACACACAGACACGTACACAGAGACTTTTACACACAGACGCTTTTACACATTAACCCAGCTTTGCAACCCAACAGCATACCTGAATCTTCCACCTACGTTTTTTTTCAGACCCTGTGCCAAAGTCCTGTTTTTTCAGTACCCAGAAAACTTTTCAGGATCTACTCTCAAATTCAGGACCTGGCCATTTTGGGGTATCAATGGTAATGGCAATCATTGGGTGCAAACATGTGAAACCAACATTTGGTGGATATTCAAGCCATTGGCATTGATCCACGCAAATAAAAGCACTCCCAGCCCAAACTCATGGCAAGGCAGGATCAGAATATAGTATATTCCAGAAAGTATGTCAGAATAGATGCCAGATAGGATGCCAGAAAGAATGTCAAATAGAATCTCAGAAAAGAATGTAAGATAGTATGTCAGAACATATATGCCACATATACGTCCAGATGATATGTCAGAAACTATGTCAGAATAGTGTGTCAGGGTGGGGATCACTCTTAGTAAGGCAATTTTGAAAATATATTTCAGGTTCGGAATTTTCAAACTGTTGTCCTTCAGGCGCCGAAGCTCCCGTTGAAGGTCAGCATCGCCCCATGTCAACTGGTCCAGTCCCACTTCCATTTCAACAAGTCCAACTTCATCGATTAGGGTGTTGGTTGAATGGACTTGGGACTCTAGCTGGCACGGCATCCCTTGTAACCCTGTAGACACTGTAGTGGGCAAAAAGATTGTAACACACAGAATCAGCATCATTTTGATCAGGCATTCTTTTTGCTAATCCTTTCTCCCTATTACGAAAAATACCCCCAAATGACAAAAACTAGGTGCGATTTCCAATTTTGGGAAATGTCAAATTGGTTAATCTGATTTTTAATTGATCCCCTTGAGGAAACAATTTTAAAAATGAAGGTACCATGTGAGGGTTTCACCCCCAAAGAATAAAAAACTAGTCAACACCGGGGTGTCTTTTATTGGGGTCCGTCCTTTAAAATCGTCAATTTTAGTTTTTTTAATTCAGGTGTTGGTGTTTTATTTGATACTAGGCGAAAGCTTCGAAATCCTATTCTTGGCAGTATTCTATTTAAAGATTATTTTCATGGATTTTGAAATTAGAAACAAAAAACGGTTTAATCCCTTCCCCCTGTTGCTAAACAGTCGCCCCTTCACCCACCCACCCAAATAACAAACACCTGGAGGAGTTTTTAGTATTGGGGGGGTCTTTAGTATTAGGGTACGAAGCTTCCCCCTAATACTGATCACACCACTAATACTGATAAAAAACACACACACACATATATATATATACACATATTTCTATTTCAAAATCGATCAGATTTCTTTCTTTTTAAATCCAATTGAAATATGGCAAACAAGTGGATTCCGAAGCTTAATATCAAATAAAAAACACCAACATAAAAAACTATGTATGTTTTTCTATTTCGAAATCGATTAGATTTCCTTTTAAAAAATAAAATAAAATATGGCCAAAAAATTGGATGTCGAAGCTTTTCCCTTATATTAAACCCTAATATCATTTTGTTTTTTTTCCTGTTTCAAAATCGATTAGATTTCCTTTTGAAATCTAATGAAAAAAATGATTTTGAAGCTTTCCCCTAATATCAAATTAAAATCCAATTATTAAAATATGTTCAAAAATTGGATTTCGATGCTTCCCCTAATTTTGCATGAAAAATTCCAATATAAAAAACTAAATTTGTTCTATTTCAGAATCGATTAGATTTCCTTGTAAATTCAAATTAAGATATTGCCAGAAATTGGATTTCGAAGCTTTCCCCTCATATTAAACCCTCATATCAAAGACTATTTTTTCTATATCAAAATTCATTAGATTTCCTTTTGAAATCTAATTAGAATATGGTCAAAAATTGGATTTTGAAGTTTTCCCCTAATATTACATTAAAAAAACATAATATAAAATATTATTTTTTCTTTTTTGAAATCGATTCGCTTTCCTTTTAAATTGTAGTAACAAAAATAAAAACAAAAACCGGATTTCGAAATGTTTCCTCTAATATTAAATTACCAGCCCTAATATATTTAAAAAAAACTGTTTCAAAATCGATTAGTTTTCTGTTTAACATATAATTAAGATATTGCTAAAAATTGGATTTCGAAGTTTTCCCCTAAGATTAAATTAAAAACACTAATAAAAAAACTATGCTTTTTCGATTTCAAGAATCGATTAGATTTCCTTTTGACATCCAGCAAAAATATTGCCAGGAAATGCCAAAAAGTGGATTTCGAAGTTTTCCCCCAATATTATATAAACGTTGTAATATAAAATACTTAATTTTTCGACCTTAAAAGACCCTAGTTTAAAAAATCACCGGGGCTGACTAGTTTTTATTTTTTGGTGGTGAAATCCTGAAATGGGACCTTCATGTTTAATTTGTTTTTGAAAAGGAATCAATTAAAAGTCAAACTGGCCAGCCTGAAATTTCCCAAAATTTAACGCGGACCCTAGTAAAAGGAATCAATGTAATATTTTAGTATTTAGGGTACGTTTAGTAAAAGGAGATGGGGATTAGTAAGGTTTTCAATTTAATATAAGGGGAAGCTTCGAAATCCAATTTGGCAAGATTTGAGTTAGATTTTGAATAGGAATTCAATCGGTTTTGAAATATAAAGTTCATTTTTTAAAACAAATGTTTTCAATTTAATGTCAGGGGGAAGCTTCGGAATCCAATTTTGGCAATATTTTAGTTAGATGTTATTTAAAAAATGTTTTCCAATCTAGTTTTTTTAACCAAGGGGGAAGTTTCGCACCCTCATACTAAATACCCACTAAATACAAAAAAACTATTCCGTGTGTTCATTATTGGGTGGGGAGGGGC